GCGCTCATGCTGCAGGACGGCACAAGGGCTCCGTGTACGTGGATGGTGTGATTGTGGGGGGCCCGGAGACGATACCAACACTTGAGACGCAGGGGTTTGAAATCCCACAATTCTACGTTGGGAGCGACGAGGGAGGCAGCGGCAGCGATGTGACGGTGACGAACGTCTTTCTGTACGACCGCCCACTGAGTGTCGATGAACTAAAACTGGTCAGGAAAAGCGACGCCAAAAAAGGCAAAGGTGACGGCTCCATGCGTGGGGGCGTGTCTCGGGTGCTGCTGCTGCTGCTGCTGCTGCTGGGGCTGTGCGGCTTTTCGGCCCTTTACGGGGCGTAACGCGGCGGGGCCCCTGCCTCCGGTGGGGACATTTGCGTCTCCCCACGCACCTTCTGGAATAGTTGCCACTTCTCGTGCACGCTTTTTTTACTTATTTTGTTTTTACGATCCCTTCGCCGCGCAGGCCCCTTCCTCCATGTGGAAGCATGCTCCCCCCGAGGCCATCATCGCGTGGTTTTTGTTTGTTTGTTTTTTTATTTTCCCCCCGTCTTTTGGTCCTCCGACAACGGCGGGATCTACTCAGTGTTCTTGTTTTTTGTTTGTTTGTTTGACCAGAGGCGCGCTCGGCTTTGTGTGTCACGCCGACGGCGCCGGCTAATAAAAGAGACAATGGAATGGGGGGCACGAAACCACGCCGAGTGTCCCAGTGGAATATAAATAATTTGTGGGCACCGGGGGTTTAAACGACTGTAACGAGTGTATCTTATTTTGTTATCTTCGGGCGAGACACGCGCACCAACGTGCAGCTTTTTTTTGTGTTTTTGAGTGAATGCATAATGGAGGACGAATTTGTTTTTGTTTTTATCTTTCCAGCAAGTGTCCCGTGTTTTTCCACTTTCTGGGCTGCCGTGCAGTCTTGAGTTTCACCAGTCCCTTGCTTGATATTTTTGTCTGGCACTCTTCTGTGGCTGTGTGTGCCCTCGTATGGTTTGCTTTGCCCCCTTTTCTTTTTTACATGTCCGTAGGCACACACGAGGTCACTTACATGATATATGCATTCTGGTGCAGTTGGCTGGCCCACTCACACTCTGTGCTGGCAGTTGCGTGCGGCTGTTGTTTTTTTCCGTGGGCATGAAGATAAGAGAGGGGAGAGGGAGCGCGCGCCGCGAGTCTCTTTTCCTGATGGTGTGGTGCACCGCGTGTGACTGCGTGGAGTAGGGCGCCGCGTGACTGGTGGATGGGTGAGGACCCACTTCAACGTGTGGCTGGCGGGGTGGGTGCTCGCTCCGGGTGCGTTGTGTGTTGGCTGCGGGGATGTGGCCGCATCCCGTTGGCCGTGAGAATGTTCTGGAGGCGGTGGGTCTCTTCTCCTCGTCCATGGTGCGTGGCTGCTGCCGGTGCGCACTGGTTTCCCTTGCAACTCGCTGTGTTTCTCCTCCATGACTTTTTTCATTTCTTTCACACACAAAAAAAAGGAAGTAAAACAAGCGCGAATCGCTACTGTGCACTCTGAGGGCTCTCAAAGGAACAACAACAGTACACACACACACCGCCCACACACACGCATTAATATACTCTCAAGCGTTGCTGCTGTGAAGGCACCCCGCACACACAACCGTACTCGCGTGGCCGGATCCAGCGAAAGGAGGAAGGAAGGAAGGAGAGAGTGGGCATCAGAGGCCTAACATGTCCCGGCATCTCTTCCATTCTGCGGTGCTGCTTCTCCTCGTCGTGTTATGCGGCACCAGTGGTGCTGCGCACGCTGAGGGAACCATTGCAGGGAATGTGCAAATGCCGCAATGGGTCACGCTTTTTTTGCCGGGGAAGACGCCGGTGGTGCCAAGAGATGGGTTCGCAAGTAAAATGAGGGATTGGTTTTTCTTGCCCTCGATTGTGAGCGCTGGTGGAGTAATGGTTACACTTGCGGAGGGTCAAATTGAGCTTCAGAGCTCTGATG